TATTCCGAGGGTATGCATTTGCTCTATAGGTGCATTATAGCTTCCCATTTATTCCTATGGAAAATATAATTCCACTTGAATGATATTGAATTTAAATGATATTTTTTTGTGCGAAAAATATGGTTGTTGGATTTTACGTAACGAAATGGTATTTAAAAATCAATACAGCTTGACACATTTCAGTATCACTTTATGAACTTTGTTTCTATTACGTGGCAACCGTATGGCAGGCCCGAATTCTCCGAAAACATGGAAGAAAGAACTACTTCTTTTCTTATGGGACATACCGAGTTATGGACAAATAACCTCTAAAATCTCGTTGGTTTTTTCGCAATTAACTTCTGACGAATGAACCTCCATGATTACAAGCAGATATGCATCACATAGTTCATGCGACAGTCATAATCGGAGATAAACGATGGACTGGAAAGTCATGCACGGAACAAAGCGAAATCGAACGAGCAATCAGGATGCAGAGGATTGACTGACCGCATCCTCTCCCTGTGAATTCAAGCAGGGAGAATCAAAGTGCGACTCAGTATCAAACAAAGGGATTCCCTGCGTAAGTATATTACCAATCACCCACGTCCCTTTGACCACTGCGCCAGTGCCACGGTAAAACATTGAATGTGTAACTTCATCAAAGGAGAATTTCCCCTTGAAAAGCCACGATGAAAGATCTTAATGCATTTGAATGTTTCATTTACTGCCACATAGTTCCTGTCAGAAACCCTAAAAAAAGCTGAGCAACCTAGAAGTAGCTTGGAAACAAAGCCCGAATATACGAATGTCAAAGTCACGGTGTGGTTTTGCGGATACGCGGTTTCTCGGTGTACTCACCAACATTCTGGACTTGCACAGAGTGCCTTGGCCATTGTGGTTGGCGTCCCCGTCGATTTCACTCAGACAAAAATAAAAGTTTATTAATTACTAGCCCGTCGTTGCCATGGCAGTTTTTTCTTTCAATTTAGAAAACCCCAGAAACTATCCAAGTTTTCTGAAAATTGCAAGTCCCTTTAATAAACAATCCAGTGGAACGTTTTTTGAAGCCAATCTATTCGGCGTATTGTGTCATTAGAATATATACACGGAAAAAACAATTACTTTGGATCAGTAGATAAAGTACTTGTACCCAGCACCAAGGGGTTTCTGGGGAAAAGGCACATTTTTGTACTTCCTCGAAGTTACGAAACAACTTGATGCAAGTATCATGCGCCAAGTACCTGTGTACTGGTGAGAAGTACCTCAGTACTTGTCACAAGTATTTTGTTACTTGGAACAAGTAACAAAATTACTTGTACTGAGTACCTGGCTGGTTCTTTTCGAAAGTACCAAATAAACTCAATGTAAGTTGAGTATAAGAACTCAAAAATGTTTTTCTAGCTCTTCTAAAACCTGAATTTCCGCAAAAATTCCAAAATTCAAATAATTCCCGTTTTGTGAATAATAAAATTGAAAAGAAATTGAAAATAATTTTCTGAAGCCTTTTAAATGTTGGTAACAATAGAAAACAAAAATCTCAACAAAATTGAAATTGGAAAACATACCAATAATTCTCGAAAGCATCCATAAAAATCGTAATCTATTGATTTTTTCCTACAAAATATCTTCTGCTGAACATTTCTATTTACAAAAATGCGTAAGAAAGCCCATTCTATCCGGTGATAATATTCACTTTTTTCAATAAAGTAATCAATTGGAAGTACTGAAATTAAGTCCTAAAAGAACTTGAGAGAAGTTGGAAAATTACTTTTCACTAGTACCTTTGGTGTTTGTGAAAAGCACTAAAAAAACTCCCAGTATCATTTCTACTCGATCGGCAGATGTGGTGCTTCACCCAAGGCCACAAAATGTCCTTAGGACGAGTATTTTTACAACTTTTCAAAAGTGAACTTCCCCTAAGTACCGGTTTGTTCTGGTCAGAAGTAATTTTTTGTAGGTGTATATATATATATATATATATA